GGGGGACACAGATAGGGACAGACTGACAGACTGACTGACTGACAGGGGCTGGCCACGGGCATCGAGGCAGGTACGGACGGACAGACGGACAGGGGCACAGACAGAGAGATGGAGGGACAGGGAGAAGGAGGGGGGAGGGGACAGAGGGACGGACACGGGGACGGACGGAGGGACAGGGACAGAGGGACGGACAGGGGGACAGACGGCCCCCACTGTCCCCACTGACCGCCCTCTCCCCAATGTTCCCCCTGTCCCGTGTCCCTCTGTCCCTGTCTCCCGTCCCCGTGTCCGTCTGTCCCCGTGTCCGTCTGTCCCCATGTCCCTCTGTTGCCCCGTCTGTCCCCATGTCTGTCCCCGTGTCCGTCTGTCCCTGCCTGTCCCCCTGGTCTGTCCCCATGTCTGTCTGTCCCCATGTCTGTCCCCGTGTCCGTCTGTCCCCGCAGTGCTGCGGCGGCTGCAGGTGCAGCTGGAGGACACCGAGCTGCGCCTGGAGCTGCCCCCGCAGCCCGGGGGGGGCCCGGGGGCGGCCCTGGAGCTGCACCTGCCCAGGTGAGGGGCTGGGCGTGCCCAGGTGTGTCCAGGTGTCCCAGGTGTGTCCCAGGTGTGCCCGGGGGAGGGGCTGGGCGTGCCCAGGTGTGTCCCGGGTGTGCCCGGGGGAGGGGCTGGGTGTGCCCAGGTGTGTCCAGGTGTCCCAGGTGTGTCCCAGGTGTGCCCGGGGGAGGGGCTGGGTGTGCCCAGGTGTGTCCCAGGTGTGTCCCAGGTGTGCCCGGGTGTGTCCCAGGTGTGTCCCAGGTGTGCCCGGGTGTGCCCGGGTGTCTCAGCTGTGGCTGTCCCCAGGGTGGAGTACGAGGACGTGGGGGAGGGTCCCGGCGCCCCCCCCGTGCTGCAGAAGCGGCTGAGGCTGCAGGACCTGCGGCTGCTGTGGGCGGAGCCGGCCCCACCTGGGGCACAGGTACGTGGCACCCGTGGCACCTGTGTCACCTGTGCCACCTGTGCCACCTCTGTGTGCCACCTGTGCCATCTGCGTGTGCGTGTCCGTGTCCCACGCGTGTCCCACCCGTGTCCCACGCGTGTCCCCTCTCTGTCCCCAGCCCTGCAGTTCCCCCGCCGCCCTGCTGGGGGCGCTGCTCCCGGGCCCTGCGGAGCTGCGGCTGCGCCTGAGGCAGAGCGAGAGAGCGGCGGGGCCGGCGGTGGGACTGGGGGGGACTGGGGGACTGGGGAGGACTGGGGGGAAATACTGGGGGGACTGGGGGGACTATGGGGAGATATTGGGGGGACTGGGAGATACTGGGGGGACTGGGAGATACTGGGGGGACTGGGAAGGGATACTGGGGATACCGGGGGGCATTGGGAGGATGGGGTCCCGTTTCGGGGTTTTTAGGGTCTCGTTTTTGGGCTGTTTCTGGGCTGTTTCTGGGGTCTCGTTTCGGGGGTTTTTGGGGTGGTTTTGGGGTTTTTGGGGGCTCGTTTCGGGGTTTTTGGGGTGGTTTTGGGGTTTTTGGGGGCTCGTTTCGGGGTTTTTGGGGTGGTTTTGGGGTTTTTGGGGTGGTTTTGGGGT